TTTAGTTGCGGGCTGGGAGCATGGAGGAGACAGCCTAGGGAAAGGGGCTGGAGTTTAGGGGCCCAGTCTCCCCCATCTCAAGGGGGCCTGAGGCATCCTAGCCCAGCTCTGTGATCAGATTACATCTGTGCTGTGCTGTACCCTGGAGAGGCAATAAACTTCCTCTATTCCACCGGCGGGTGCAGTCTGTTTGTGCCATTTCGCGGTGCAGGAGACGGGGGACCCCCAACGTGCCGTCACACCGGCACCTCCTGGGTCCTAAAGGTGCCGGATTATCGGAAGTTTACTGTATATGTGGATTTTTTTCCATCCATGTGCAGAATATATTTTTCATGTGCACCCAAGCATGTGCAAATATGTGCCACCAAAAGAAACCAAAACCTAGCTGCAGGTAGTCTGCTAATCAGCTGGGCAGCATTTGAATCTCTCCTGAGTGGTTGTACAAGCATTTAGTAGGGATGTAAGCGAGTAGTTGACTACCTGATAAGTCTAGGCTTATTGAATAGTTGAGTATCAGAGGGGTAACCGTGTTAGTCTGAATCTGCAAAAGCGACGAGGAGTCCTGTGGCACCTTATAGACTAACTGAAGTGTAGGAGCATAAGCTTTCGTGGGCAAAGACCCACTTCATCAGATGCATGTAGTGGAAATATCCAGAGGCAGGTATAAATATGCAGGCCAGGATCAGGCTGGAGATGACGAGGTGGATCCACTACATGCATCTGACGAAGTGGGTCTTTGCCCATGAAAGCTTATGCTCCTACACTTCAGTTAGTCTATAAGGTGCCACAGGACTCCTCGTCGCTTTTGAATAGTTGAGTGACTGCTCAACTACTCGCTCCTCCCCTTGCTGCCTCTGTATCAGAATCAGCAATAAGGAGTAGAAAAGCAGGAGCCGGTGCTGGGGGGAGCCGGCTTAAAAGCCAGTTCCCCCCAGCACCATCTTCAGGGTGAGGGAGGGAAACCAGAGCCAGCATGAGCAGGGACTGCTCAGTCTGGCTTGCGCTGTCCCCGGGAACTACCCCTGCTGCAGTTCTGCATTTTAAATGTAGTAAGAGTCAGGCAGCTCTTACTGCGTTTAAAATGCAGAGCTGCAGCTGTCCTGTAGCTGGCACAAGCTGGGACTGCTTAGTCCCTACTTGTGCCAGATCCAAGAGCTACCCCTGCTGTGGCTCTGCAGTTTACATGTAGCAGGAGCCATGCCAAAATATTTAAGAATTTAGAATTCTGAAAACATCTGCATATTATTTGTCACAATAACACAGTAACAATATAATCACACAATTTTTAATTATTTTGGTAATTTATTTCAAAATACTTTATCTGCAAATAACTGTGTTGTTGTGACAAAATTTGCAGAATTTGAAAATATGGACAGAATCTTTTGGAACAGAAATCTCCTGAGTAAACTACTTTTAGCCATTGCTTTTGGGGAGCAAAATAATGTTCATATAATTAAATGCTCCTCTTATCACTACAAGTTAAACCTGTGATCTGAGAGACTGATCCGGAAATATCTGTGGTCTGGAAGCACTACGGTTGTTGCTGGACAGGAGTGTCCCAGCACAGGTTGATGGCAGCTGGGAGCACAGCTGACCGGTGAGAAAAATCAGTTGGGAGCTACACACGTTAGAGAAGCAAAATAAACCAACCAAACCCTCATTGACATGGCCCCTCACCGAGATGGAGAAAGATATTCCCCTCACACATCAGAGCCTAGGAAGGCTCAGACTAGTAGACTGTGTGCTCCAGCACCATGGGGAGCCTCAGAGTCTAGGTCCAGGAAAGCTGGAGGCTGCATCTGGCCCCCAGGCCTTAGTTTCCTCACCTCTGTCATAAATGATCTTTTCAGATATGCTTGAAACAACTGGGCTGTGTCTAGACAGGCAAGTTTTTCCGCAAAATCGTTTGATTTTGCGGAAAAACTTGCCAGCTGTCTACACCGGCCGCTTGAGTTTCCGGAAAAGCACTGACGATCTCATGTAAGATCATCAGTGCTTTTCCGGAAATACTATGCTGCTCCCGTTTGGGCAAAAGTCTTTTTCTGAAAGACTTTTGCACAAAAGGGCCAGTGTAAACATCACAGTAGTGTTTTCCGCAAAAAAGCCCCGATCGTGAAAATGGTGATCGGGGCTTTTTTGCGGAAAACCGTTTCTAGATTGGCCACGGACGCTTTTCCACAAAAAGTGCTTTTGCGGAAAAGCATCCTGCCAATCTAGACGTGCTTTTCCGAAAATGCTTTTAACGGAAATTTTTTCCGTTAAAAGTATTTTCGGAAAATCATGCCAGTGTAGACGTAGCCCTGATGTGTCTTATAGATCTTTACTTTCCCAGAATGTCATGGTTTCCTTTACTATCAGAGTGACTGTTGCATATTTCCATATGGTATGTATTTTACTTGAACAACATGGTGGCAATAGATTTTTATCCAATTATATGTTTATAAAGGAAGGCAACAGGGCAGGGATAAATGTCAACAAGAAGTCCTGAATCTTCCCTTGAATGAACATGGCGCTAGTTGGTGATCTACCTGTGTGCATCAGAGGTCAGAAGTTGATATATAGGTTGCAGTCTCTGAATTCTCCTATCCTTACATTTTAAATTCTATTTTGTTTTTGCATCTTTTTCAGTTTCAAACAAGAAATTAAAATACAGTGATTTCATTATTTTCACAATGTTTTATATAAATATTTTAAAGAAAGCTTTGAGATTTTTACATCGCTATCTTTTGAGAAAGCATTACCAAAATTATTTTAATAGAAAAATTAAGCAAATTAATGTGTGAATTCTTTTTTTAAATACTTGGTGCAACTGTTCCTGTTAACTAATCCAGTCACTTGGAAGGCAATTACACTGAGCTTTGACAACATTGCCAACTCACTGCAGTGTGCCTTATGCCAAACACTATTGTTGTTTTATTGACCACATTCACCATTACATATGCATATGAAAAAACGGAGGTATTTTCATCAGGATTACCCTAATAGCATTAAGAGATTATTTTTTAAATTTCCTTGGAAGAAAATTCACCTAAATGAGATTACTTATTACTTGACTGGTTTCCTATCATGCTGCTATGTTTAGGTAAGTGGAGTCCATTAGACTATAAAGTTTTTTTAAAAACTGATTTTATACATTAATGATTTCAAATAAAAGGGAAGTACTATATTTGTGCATAACTTTCTCAAAAGGAGCTAAGTCGGATGTTCTGGTTAGGAGAGATAACACTTTTTGTCCCTGTTGGTGGCCCTCCCCCCCTCCCCCCCAGTGTCACCATTAGTTGCTAATTACTTGCAAACAAATAAACAATTAACTCCTCGTGCCTCTTGGTGGGAGAGTCTTCATTGACATGCTAAAACTTTCTAATAAAAGATTTTAATTAATGACGTTGCAAATCCAACCCTCTTGTCAACACAGCTATAAGGAGGGTTGCAAGAAAATGCAAGCACAGTTCATGTTATACGTAGACTGAATCTGAAAGAATGGCAAATCCATCATTATGTACTTCTAATACAGAAGCATCTCAAAATCTTCAGAAAGTGTCCAGTTTTGTGGAAACTAAAACCACACATTGCTCTTTTTCCATTGAAAGCATTTTGGGATTAGAACAGAAAAAAGATGGCATTCCAGCTGCAAAACCTCACAGACCATGGAAGGATACATGCAATAACTTAGGTATGTTATCAGCTTCATTTGGGTATTTTCTTAACATCTTACACCATATTAACTTTTCTGTATTACTAAGGACATGTTTCCATAAGCCCTTCAGTATGATTATACGATACTCATTTTGTTAGAGGCTTGCATTTTAATGTACCTGTCTCATTCAAAAATTGGCAAACGCAGATCTGAGTTTAAATTCTATGTTTTTATGTTTTTAGGAGAAAATGCTAGTCTGTGTCTGCAGACACCTGTCATTTCCTGTGAAAGGCCATTATTTCATGGTAACAGTTGCCCAATGCTGGAGGAAAGAGTTTTGAAATGTGAAAAATATTTTTCAGCCACTGAAAGGCTGTCCTACAAAAGGGAACTAAGCTGGTACAGAGGTAGGAGACCAAGAACTGCTTTCACTAGAAACCAGGTAGGGATTTTTAGTTACCTATTTATAAAGTAATGTGTGTTTTCCAAATTTATTTGTTGAGTAAAATGTACTTAACAGTAGGAAGTATGTAATCATTAGCTGATAAAATAGTGTATACTTTTTGCATAAAGAGAGGCAGAGATGTACATCTGTGGTTAAGAACTCATGTTAATCTAGTATAATGCCACTAATCTAATTTGATTTATGTTGGTATAAATGAAATTGGAGTCTGACCCAAAAACTGTTGGTAAGTCTTTTACTTGAACTGATTGACTTTTTCTTTTTCCTTACAGTGTAAATTTTTTAATTGCTTAATGGATTGTTTATGTATTCTCCTTAGATTGAAATGCTGGAAAATGTTTTTAGAGTGAATTCCTATCCTGGCATTGATGTTAGAGAAGAACTAGCTCACAAACTAGATTTAGATGAAGACAGAATCCAGGTAACTTAATTTAAAAATATATATATTCTGTGATCACATGATGTCTGCTCGGCAATGATGCAAGTGGATGGATGGAGATAACCACTTTAAAGTTGCATTTAGTCTTAATCGTCCTTTGTACTTAGTGTGTGCCATTAGATAGGTACTACATTAGAAGTAATTTGTAGTGGAGAAACCAATTAAATTTTCCTCCCTCTCAGCCTCCCTTTTTCTCCTGCATTTATATGACATTAATTGCTGTAATACTTCCGTGTCATCTTCTTTGACCATCATAAAAGTTCTCCCTAAAGAACTCTCAGAATGAAATCCTGGTCCCATTAAAGTAAATGAGAATGTTGTCATTGACTTTGGTAGTGCAGGGATTTCATCCTTTGATCCTAGGTTTTTAATCCTTTTCTACAATGGGTAAAAAATACATTCCAAGCAGGGCTTCACTGGCCAAATTAGATAGGACAAAACTGTTTTAAAGTCGCATTAGAGCTGCTCTCATTTGGTCTATAGCTGCTCATGGTACATGAGGATTTTTAAGGCCTGATCTAAATCCCATCAAAATCAATATAAAACTTGGATCAGACTCTTAATGTCCACTAACGCTTGATCCAACTTTCACTGAAGTCAGTTGGATGGAGGCTTTTTCATACAAGTTGCATCAGGCTATCAACTGCTAACTTCAAGAATTTAAGCATTTATTTGAGTTATTGAGCGTCCTGAACTTTCACTGGTTCCTCTGGGAGTTCAGGATGCTCAGCATCTTCCTCAATCAAGCCCTGAGAGTCCAGTCCTATTCCACTGAAGTTGATGCAAGTTTTGCTTTTAACTTCAGTGGGGGAAAAACACAGGTCCTTACTTTCCCGTTCAGTTAGGAAATGCAGTGAGTCCTTTGCCTATGATTTTTCTGCCTCCTATTATTTATTTATATTACGACAGCTTCCCATATACCTTCAGCTGTAACTTTGAAACTTGCAAGCTGCTTCAGCTTCCAAACAATCAGAATTTCATAAATTAGTCTACTGTATAGTTGTTCTATGAGATTCTTTATCAACTTCAAACTTGGCCTGCATACACTGCTGCTTTTAAAAGGAAAAATTGCCCATTTCTAATAAATAAATGCCTTTTATTTCAATTTTAGATCTGGTTCCAGAACCGCCGTGCAAAGCTGAAAAGATCTCACAGAGAATCTCAGTTTCTAATTGTAAAAAACACTTTAACTTCCAACCTTCTGGAATAGAAAGAAGCTAGCTAGTTACCATTATTCTACCATAGTAGAACAGGAAGAATAAGTGGAAACTTCATAATTTGCATAATTAAGCAATGATAATGTAATATTTGTACTTTTAATATTTGCATCTAGTTTTGAAATATTATCATGATTTTCATTAAACACTAAATACTTCATATTATTAATGCACTTTTTGTAAAAAAAAAAATGCTCCATATATTTTAATAAATATTTTCAGAAACATGTAAAATATTTTTGAGGTTAACAAACTGACACCCTAGATCCTGAGGTGATGTAAATCTGAATAGCTTACTTGAAGACAGTGGAGTCCTACCAGTTTACACCAATTTAGGATTTGTTTTTTTGTTGTTACTGATTCCAGAAGACTCAGCAGGATTACATGAAAAAAGTTTGTTTAACAAAGCCAATTTGTTTGTTTTACAACCTTATATTTTAAAGGTAGAGGAAAAATCATCTAAAGTACACAATTATGCAAATATGTTACTGCTGTTACAGAAACTTAGCTTAGGTATTTTTCTGGAATTAAATAGCTTTTCAGTGTTTGCAGTGTAGAGCTGAAATTTTTTTAAAAGATACAGTATACTTGGTTTTATGAGACATATCTTTTTAATTAAGTGAAAAGCCTAGATGAACAATAACAATGTGTGTCATTTGTATTTTAGCCAAACCAATTAAACTTAAAAGAAGTTTAAAATGTCACTCTTATGGACTGTTTGTATTAATTAAAACATGAGGAAAATATATATAGCTAATGTTTGCCTAGTTAATATTATCAGCTTATCTATATCCAATCCAAATCGTTTTGTCAATGTTAATGATCCAGTCTTGTGAAGTATTGAGTGCCATCAGTATCTCATGAGAAAATTCAGCACTTCATAGGATCAAACCCACTGAGATTACATACATTGTTTCCTTTATTTATTCTCATAATAATACTGTGAAACATTTTTCATGAAGTTCATAGTGGTAAAGATGATCAAATGGAACAAGAAAACCAAGCTTCCTGACACTTGATATTGATTCAACCCAAAGTCAATGTATGTAGTCCCATTTACAAAGTAACACCTTTTATTTATATCATATGTTGCTGATTCAAGAAATCCACATTCATCCCTGTTGAGTAAGGTATTTAAATACATACTTAAATATAAATGTATGTTGAAGTCTCATTGCTTTCAGTAGGATGTAAGTTGATGCTTTAGTGAATAAAGTTCTTTTCTGAACTAGGATCTAACAGTGTATAAGGAAATTACCTTTCAGGTGTAAAATTCGGTATATTCCATTGTATGCAGTGTCAGAGGCATGTCTGTTCCAGGATATTAGACAAGGTGGATGAGGTAATGGTGGGGTTTTTTCACTGGACCAATTGTTTTCTTATATGAGTGGCAAGTTATATGAAATGCTAAAGAGCGCTATCTGTGACTCCATGGTAGAACTATTACAGTGTTATAGGAGAACATCTTGTTACTCGGTTGGTGAAATCTAATTTATGGGATACATAACTAGTTTGGGATCTCTGCCTTTATTCCAGACCACCTGCCCTGAGTTTGTCATTTATGGGCATGAATCACTATTTTTTAGGCTTGAAGCCTTGTTACTCTCGCTGCAAGTTGGGCCAGTAAAGGATATTACCTCACCCTTCCTGTCTCTCTACAAGAAGACTGATTTTATGAGTTTGGTGTTTCATCCACTAGTCTAATGAAAGTACCAATTCATAAGCATCCAGTGACCGGGTTGTTGACCTACTGTTCCTCCCTTATGCCCCAGGATCCCCACTTCCTCCCCCCGCAACCCTGCTCTGGCCCCACTGTCAGGCAGTGCCCCCAAAGTGCTTAGTGGTGAAGCTGCAATGTCAATCAGGTAGTGCAGCACCAGCCATCCTAGTCCCCATGGTAGGCTGGCCAGCCTCACCCCCTACCAGCCCAGGTCAGGGCAGAGCCTGGAAACTGCAGGAGGGAGCCTGGACACAGAAGATGGGTGGGGCCACACCAAGCTGTTTGGGGATGCTAGGCATCCACCAGCCTATGATACCCGCCACCCATGTATCAATTCTTTTAACTGGCATTTTTCCATTTTTTAACCTTTTTTTAAAAACTGCACATATATACCACAAGACAGAGCACTCCCATACACTATATGTAGCCAGGCATTTTCTCAAGTTAGTTATTCAAGGACTAACAAAGAATTTTGAAGTATGTGTTGTGTGCCGAATTAAATTGAAAACACTGCAAACGTATGTATAATCTTTGAAAAGTGCAGTGTTAACTGTTATGCCTTAAAACACAGTCCTTAATATATCTGCCTTTGAGCTTAATGGATGATTTATCATATCCAATTTGTATAATGGCAGTAGTTCTCCAACTTCATTTTTATTTACAAAGCCTTGAAACTATCACTGTTTAATCAATATTATTCCTGTGTTCTTAAAATTGAATGTTGTTTATAATATGAAAAATAACCATAGGTGCTAAGACTTTTTATTGAACAAAAGCTGCAATTGACAAACTTCACATGCATTTAAATTATTTTTTTCTAATGGGTAAATTCATGGTTTTATAGCATTTTGCTGATTCAGGGATCAATCCTGCAAACATTTACTCACAAGTAATTTCAGTAATATTTGAGACAAGTAAGGATTTGCTGTATTGGCCTCAAGTATTGTAAGCGTTATTGTTGTTAAAATAACCTGTCTGATTTTGAGGTGATAGAGAGCACTGAAGCACTTGATGAATTCATGGGAGCCATGTGTACACTTCAAGTCTAAAAAAATTAGGCTGTACACTTTAACTCAGAACCAACTGCTTTAGTTCATTGCAATAATAGTACAGTAAGAAGAAATAAAACTAATGTTTATTTTATGAGGAAACTAAGTACCACAGGATTATATTGGGCACAAATAAGTCCTTTTAGGACAATGCAAGAAGGAGGAAGTGCCAGTCCTCTGAAATTCTTTAATTACTTAGCTGGATTTGGTTTTGTGTGTCTAAGAACACAAACACCAGATGCAATACTTCAATTTAAATAATCCTGTTTCTGTTTTCATTATTACTTCAGTATGAACACAATAAGTCCCAAATAAAGAATGTTAGTTCTTTTATCGAAGTCTTAGAAGACATAAGAGAAAAACACTTGAGAGCTAGCCTCTTGTGTCCCATGCCATGAGATAACTAAGGCCTTGTCTACACGATGAGATAAGGTTGAATTTATTAAGGTTGATTTTTAACACTCAGTTTCTTAAAGTAGAAGGTGCAGGACTCCACTGTGTGTGAAAGTTTGATGAAATGAATCCCCAATAGGGTTACTGCCATTGACTTTGACAGTGATGCACTGGGGGTAGTTATCCCACAGTTTCTGCCACCCCTTTGCATTCTAGAGTAGGCTCTCAGTGCCTGATGGGACCAAGCAAAATGCAGGACAATGTAGCACTTTAAAGACTAACAAGATGGTTTATTAGATGATGAGCTTTCGTGGGCCAGACCCACTTCCTCAGATCAAATAGTGGAAGAAAATAGTCACAACCATATATACCAAAGGATACAATGGGACCAAAACATTGCGGCAGATAGTTCCGGGTACCTGTTGTCAGCATCCCATAATGTACCTCCTCTCCTTTCTCCCTCCTGCTTGAAAGCAACAACAAGCAAGCTTTTTACAGCCTTTTTTTTCCCAATTATCTATGCAGATGCATTGCAGGGCAAGCATGGAATCTGTTCAGCAGTAAAGTTCTATGGCAATCATCGCAAATATCTGGTACCTTATGCTGCAGTATGACCAGAGTCTTGCCAAGGCCAGCCAGAACAAGGAAGAATATGAGGAGGCCATGAGCAGATTCTTGTATGAAGCAACTGAGATGAGCAATTGGAGATAGTGGTGTCATTCGGTCCTCTTGACACAGTGGAATGCCAGTTCTGGTGCTGTGAGACACCCGCAGATTAGTGGGGCCACAAAGTTATGCAGCTAGGGAACGATCAGCAGTAGCTGCAAAACTTTTGTATGTGTAAGGCCACTCCATGGAAGTTTGCAAATTGCTTTTTCCCCACCCTGAAGTGCAGCAATACCACAGAATGAGATCCTCCCCCCCTCTGACAGAGGAGAAGTGGGTGGCAACAGCCCAATGGAATCTTTCAAGGCCAGACAGTTACTGGTCAGTTAGGAATCAAAGTAGGGTAATCTACAGGAGGGGCTGCTGTGATCCAAGTAGCCAAGGCAATCAATACCATTCTGCTACAAAGGATAGTGATTCTGTGAAATGTGCAGGACATGGATGGATTTGCCATGGTGGTTTTCCCTATCTGTTGTGGGGTGATAGATGGCACACACATCCCTATCTTTGCAACCAAACACCTTGCCAAAGAGTACATAAACCACAACGAGTACTTCCTGTAAGTGTTGCAGCTGCTGGTGGGTCAGAAGGGCCATTTCACCCACATCAACGTGGGGATAGTTGGGAAAGACTCTGATACAGAGGCAGCAGAGTGGGGTGGCAGCCACCTCTGTTCACAGGGGGCCTGAGCCTGTGCAGACAGATACTGCTCTGCAGCAGGGGCCCCCCCCCCCCGCCCCTGTCCATAGGGGGCCCGAGCTCCCTGAGGACAGGGGTGTACCAGCATCCTGCCTGCCCTCCCTGGCACTGCTGCCTCTCGTACAGAGGCAGTAGCACAGGAGGGAGGGGAGAAAGCAGTTCTGTGAAGCCAGTGATCGTGGGGAGCCACCAGGTGGCATTGCAGGACCAGATGCACGTGGGAAGTCAGCTTAAAAGCTGGCTCCCCACGGTCACAGGCTCCCACCACTCCCTGTCCCCCACTGCTCTGCTTCTGATACAGAGGCAGCAAGTGGGGGGAGTGCATCTAGTCAATAGGATTTACCGATAAGCCTAGGCTTTTCAGTTAATCGTTTACTCAACTATATGTTAACATCCCTAATAGCAGGTGCTTTGTATTATATTACAGTAAATTAATGGAGCATTCACTGAAGCTGAATCTTTTGCTAGATGTTTTGGAATCTATTCAGAAATCTATCTGATTTAGAAATTTATAAAACTTGTTTTCCCAATAGTTTCATGGACAAAGAGAAATAAATGTATTTATTGCTTGAAGTTGTACCCAGGCTGCCTGTTGGTGTGCACAGTGGAAGGTAAATACGTGGGTGCTTTTTTACTGACGAAGAGTGTGTTTTATAGTTCTGGCATTTGTAAGGAATCTGTGGTGGGTACATTGAGAATGAGTTACATCTCCAAATATTAACCAAGAGAATTCAGTTGGGATTCAGTTGTGTAGGCGCAAGAGAATAAACAAACAAAAAAAACCCAAATAATTGCCACAAAATAAGATAAAAAGCAAAAACCCAGATAATTGCCACAAAATAAGATAAAAAGCCTCCTTAAATCGATGTGAACAGTTTTCCTTAATATATTCAGATACATAGTTTCATTGATGAATTATCTGTAATCTTTATGAGTTCCATACAAAATGGAAAATTATTTGATCTCACCGTTAAAAATACTATTTTAATCTGGAAAGATTTTACTTCAGTATAGAGAGAAGTTATTAAAGTTAGTAATACACACTTTATTTTAAGGAGAACTGAATTTGAAAGTTGTAACAGTCATGATTAATATCACTGAGTGACTTTCATCAAATCAATCTATTCAGAATTCAGTAAAAGAAAAGTAAAGATATATATACTGAATGCAATCATTAAAACGTTTCATTAACAAAAATTTTAATACTACAAAATCCTACATGTATAATACCTTGTTATACAATAAGACAGCAATCAAAAGGAATTAAATCAAACAAAACTTGCAAACAAAAGGGTTAATTAGGAAAACCAACAAATCCCCAAAGCCTGGTGAACTCACATAGCAGAAAAGTATCTACAAGGAGGGTAGATTCAGAGAATGTGAGAATTCAAATGCTTCCTTAATTTGGATAGTGAAGAGGATAGTGCAGATGCAGAGTTAATTTTCTTTCCCTCTCCGCATATGCTACGCTACAGGATCTATTCCACAGTTTATCCCTGTTGCAGGTAACTTGAAACTATTGTCTACCTTAATGCTGGAAACAAAGTTTACAGCATCAATAAATCAGAGTAAGTCAGCCAGGTTAATACCTACAAGCCTCACTTTATTATCTGACAAAACACCTAAATAAGGTTACTGTCTCTCATAATAGAATTT